AAGGTGCCGGGTCTGTGCTGCACATAACAATAATGACTCAACTAAGAAATATTCCTGAGAAAGGAAGCCTTTTAAAAATCAGTCTAAACAATTGAACCTTTTTTTTTCAGGATTGCTATCGGCTTGTCTCCCTATTTCTCCGGCTAATTGTCCATGACTATTTCAGTCTATACTTAGTCATTTTTTTCACTTCAGTTTACATCTTTTAGAGCACGTTAAGGAAGACTAAATCATTGCACCTGGCACTAAATCAAGTTTTGTGTTCTATGGCTGTTCTTGAGTGTTAGGTGACTGAGCAATCCGCATTTCTTTTGAATGTTGACCACACTCTTTGGAGAAATAGGAGCATGGTCATAATTTGAAGGGAAGGCATAAATCATTGTCCCTTTACACATTTTTTTCTACTAAAAAGATATATGATACTAACAAACATGCAAGAGTAAAAAGAAAATTTCTGGATAACTTGGAGGATCCCAGTCGTATCTGAACAGTGTGCTTCCTACCTCTTCCAGAACTTTAATACTATATGTGATCGTCAGTCCTTGTGAAAGACAGGGACAGGATGGCTACATGCTCTGAATTGCCACTATTAAAAGAATTGTTTTAACTCTAGTTACGTTTAATTATTTTCTAGTGACTACCAGCCAGGTTCCAGATAAATGACTGTTTGGAATGGAATGGACAGTTCTGTAAGAGTGTTTCTATCTACAAAAGTGTTAGTAGTGAGCTAACTGACAATACACAATCCACCTCCAAATATGTCATCTCACATTTCAGATGAGAAAGTTTCATTCAGGAATATCTCCAGGCAATATTACTGTCCATCAACAGAGTAGCCCCCATTCTGTGTACACGTACGTGAAAGGCATGGTGTCCAGACACAAGTGGAGGCCAGAGCTGACAACCTTTGGTGCTGTCGATCCTCATCTCCCATCTTCTTTGAAAGGGGGGTTTCTGCAGTTTTGCCACTGTGTAAAATAAACTGACCTATGAGATTCTACGGATTCTCCTGTATCATATTCTTACAAAGAAGAGCACTGTGGTTTACAGAGGCACAGGGGACGCTTTCACATGGATTTCAGAATTTGAGCTTAAGTTACCATGATTCTGTGGGTGGCTACTGTTTTTTCACACTGAGCCACCTGCACAGCTGTTATCTATGGATTCCAATTTCTCAGATATTTGTTCTTACAATCTAAGGTCTAGAATGCTTTCCCTTTTTATTCTAAGCTTCCTTTCGACAAGAAGCTATCTCTTTTAGCTTCACGGACCATTATCCCCAGACTTTTGACAAAATTGACTGGAAAAATTGAATTTATCTACTAGTCCTAAGCAAGGCACTATCACTGAGGAGGCAAATGAGGTATGTGCTGTCTGGGGTCCAGAAGCAACTGTGACAGTCAGATGGTGCAGCGTGACTATCAAGTTGCTTATAATTTCCTTGTGTTTACTTCTATTTTCAAAATTTATGTTAGGCGATCTGAAAGGAAGAAGACAAATTTGTGGGACTCTTCCAAGGTATAGCCTGATCGATGAAATGCACGTCATCTGAGTCTATTCCAGTCCTTTCTAAAAGAACTGCAGATGAAAGCAAAAGTCACTTTGACATTTTAGAATCTTCAGTTGCATTAGATTTATTATAGAGTGGCTACACTGCAAATACTGACTCCCACTTAATCTTCTTGATGACTCCACATCTCAGAAAGTTTTTGGAAATGCTTCTTATTTCTTCATAATACATCCAAACTAAGTTGTGTTATACTTCCATAGAAAAGTCACTATTTTTTCATGTTTGCCTCTCACATACACTTAAAGGTCCAGTGTTCTGGGCAACATCGAAACTTTTCTTCTTTATTCAATACAGGAGAAAACTCATCACAGATAAGTTCCCAAGTAGAATTTTTGGTAAAAACTCTATAACTTTTATTTCAACTCAGCTTCTCTCTGAGTATCTTTACTCTAGTTCACTAGCTTTTCTTACCAGATTAAGTTTCTGTGGACTTGGCTTTTTTTTTTAATTTACTTATTTATTTATTTATAAAAATTTCCACTTTCTCCCCTCCTCCCAATACCCTCCCATTCCCCCCACTCCCTCTCCTCTTCCCTCTCCAGTCCTAAGAGTAGTCAGGGTTTCCTGCCCTGTGGGAAGTTCAAGTTCCTCCCCACTCCCTCCAGGTCTAGGAAGGTGAGCATCCAAACAGACTAGGATCCCAAAAAGCCAGTACATGCAGACGAAACAAGACCTAGTGCCATTGTCAATGGCTTCTCAGTCAGCCCCCATGTCAGCCACATGCAGAGAATCCGGTTTGATCACATGCTCGTTCAGTCCCAGTGGGTTGAAGATTTTTCTCAATTTCTGATTGATACTGTATAGTGATTTACACTCCTCGTGTTCTTTCCTTAAAAGAACATTACTTTTTTAAAAAAGCTATTCAGTGCAAGGTATGTTGTCAGAGTTAAATTCAGTCATGCAGTCTTCTTGAACTCAGGTGATTTGGGACTGTCAAGATGACAGAAAGGAAAGAGTGAATATCTGAATCACATAACAGGAGAGGAAATAGGAAAAAGTGGCGTGTGACATGTGCACCTAACAAAGCATTATTCCCAAGTATCATATAGAGAAGTTACCAGAGATTTCTGCTGGCGTCTGTAATATAAGCCTCAAGACTTAGACCAGAAAGAGGAAATCCAGACTGAGATGAACTGGGGCAGTTCTGGCCCTGGGAGAGACAGTTTCCCTTTCATCTTAGGGAAAAGATCACAACGCTATTTCAACACATATCCTGAAGATGAAGGCTCTCAGAGAATGCCAAGGTTCAGAATTCTTTATCTGTGTCCCTTTCCATCAGTACATGCTGATTTGAAATGTGGTATAGGTAAGAAAGGAAACGGAACAATTTTATGCGTATTTTATGAGTAAAGAAGGAGGAAATATCTGAACTTTATAAAAGCCCTAAACCAGGTTTGTCCTTTTCCTGTTGATGTACTGTGCCTTCTAGAAGAGAGGTGCCCCCTCAACCACAGAAATGATACCCTAGGCATAGACCCTGAGAGTCCTTGTCCATAAAAGGTGGCTTCTCATTTTTAATTTTAACTACACATGCATTTAATATTGCTTATCATCTCATATTGGCTTATTGAAAATAATTCTACATGCCAATCAATAAATTTCTTCCCACTATAGATTTCCAAGGACGGTCTTGATGATTAATAGCCTGCCTTTTATATTAATGCATGCAATAAGCAACTAAAAGTCATTCTATTTCTTATGGCCAAAATAACTCGTCCTACATGCAGGAGAACTGTAAGTAACAATCACTTTGGTGCGGCTTTTAAATTGTGATTATTTGCACACTTACAGAAAAAAATACAATATAATCTCTCTGTGTGTGTGTGTGTGTGTGTGAAACCTGTCTTTCTAAAGACTACAAACAGATTTAAGACATATTTAAATATAAAATTTCTTTATATCACCATGGTCCAATTTAGTATAGCATCATAGCTTAATGAGTACCTTTCCACTCTAACTGACATAAGAAATATTAGGTTCTGTGCCATCTTATTTTTATATTTTGGTAGAAACAAATAGTTTTCATAACTCTATAGTGAGCTTTTCACATTAAGAGAAAAAACACTCAAAGAAAACATGTAGTCAATGGGTGGAATTTCATAGTCTTTTAAAGTTTTCTACCTGACTCCCCGCCCTTCCAAATAAAAATCAATATAAGATTCACAGCAAGGGAACGCCATCCCGTTTTATGACTAATCCTGTCTGTGAGCTCTTAAAGTTTTTGATTCTTCAGATAATAGGTAATTTTTACATTTACTAGAAAAACATTATCAGTAGAATCTCTCAACCTAGAATTACAGGAAAGCATGACCAATTAAAAGAAAAAACTATTAAAATATCTATTTACATTTTAAGATACCAATAATACTCTCAGAACTCTGTCGGGGCATCTGTTAGAGCTATTGTATCTCTCTTTAACTGCAGAAGTCATTGGCATTGCTCCAGAAATACGTTAAACTAACCAGATGCATCCAAGACACTATTCACGGGACTAAAGAGACCGAATGTTTTAACAACTGGTTTCACGAATCTGATGAAATACGTTTAACTTTGTAATTGCAGGAAACTACCATACCCTTCTTAAGAGCCTTTTATACGTTTTATGTCTTCCAGTCTGAGAAAATAGTTGTGATGAAGGACATAGAAACGTCACTGTCAGCCTTTTTCTACAGTAAAGTAGAAGGAAGAGCAGTATTTCTCTTCCACTGAAGAGCACCTCAGCTCACAGTCTTCTAGCCCATGTATCTTAAAGTTTCCCACTTCAAAAGGATGAGCAGTCACATCAGACAGGAAGCACACCCTTCAGATTAGTGGCAGGTGTCGAACATGAACACCAGTCAGCCTTTATTTTCAGTGTCGCGGAGCATGCTCCACGACAGAGAGGACAACTCTTCCTTCTCATTGAAGTGACACAGATCACATGACGCCTTCATCTACACATCACCAAGCAGAAAAGTTCCCAAGCAATAAAGCTGCCTGTTCTTGGTTAAGCACGAGCCTATTTGGGTGAGATAAAATGCCAGTACAAGGGAGAGAGAAAGGCAAAAACGGCAATGATGAACTGAAGAATTTCTTGAGGTAGAAGAAGAAAAAGTTGGCTCTATTCTCCCCCCATTATTAAACATCAGGATTTAGAAGTCAAACACCATTCAGTAGTTAATTAGTTCTCAGCATAATAATATGCTTTGGGAACACATAGAGCTACAGTAGGAACTATGTCAGCAAAGGAAGTTTTAAAAGCAAAAAATACAAACCCTTCCCAAAGAGCCGACCCAAAGCTCATTTCTCAGTCCCATTTTCCCATTGCCTCTAGCCAAACCATCAAAAGCACCGAAGCTGCAACACTCCAAAACTCCTCGGAATAGACTCTTAAAAAAAAAAAAATAGAAGATCAAAAGATCATAAGTGAAGTTTCAGCTTTAGGATTTACCTGCTCTGGTCCCAGTTGGCAGCAAACAGGACTAGAATTTTCCTCCCATAATGGTCCAGATTGGCCAGGCCTCCAGGAAAGCCATCCTTGAGTGCCTGCTTGATGCCAGGGTCGGTAGCCTTGAAGCTTTTGAACATATCCAGATTCTGCTGCCGATACTCAAAGTACTGGGCCAAAAGGCGGAAAGCCTCGAAGTGATGAAACTTCCGGGCCCGCAAGAAGCGTAAGATGAAAGCGTCATCCGTGCGCAGAAAGCCAATGTCTGGCCTAGTGATGACCATGTCCCTCACCTCCTGGATGTCCTGGTGCAGAGTGTCTGGGTTCTCATTGAGTTCCAGGCGAGCTTTCTCCAGGGTCTCAGGAGAGAGACCAGCTTGCAAATGAGTCATTGTTCCCCTGCTCCCAAGCTGTCCTCTCTGAAGCTCTCCTTGTGTGTCCAACAATGCACCTGGCCTTTGCCACCTCCACACCACACTCCAGCCCCCAGTTCTAGCTACTGTCTGCTTCCTTTCCTGTACAGGAAATGGTTTCTCTTCGTGTTCAGACAAGTACCCTGTTGCTCCTGTTTCCCCCCATACACACACACACAAAAGCTTTTCTGGAGAGTACTTAAACTTCTAACCCCAGCCCCCCCTAAAAAACAATGCCTCCCATTAGAAGTGGGCCGCTGGGCAGGCCCTGCCAGCCTGCCTCTTGTCCTTTATCTCTCTGAATAAAAAGAAAGGGGGAAAATAAAAGAAAAAAAGAACCCCTAATTCCACTTAGCATGGGCGCTCCGGGTCTTGAGTCTGTCTTCTTCTCTTGTCTTGTACGATGTAAGGAAAACAACCCCCACGCACATCTCAGCCCCGGCACCGTGCTGCTGCTGCGGTCCCTTCTGAAGGATGTGCCTGCCAGGGATAAAGACGGGAATTCTGATTAATAATAAGGTGGCTCTTCAGCTCTGAGCTTCAGGGCGGGGAGGGAGAGTCTTTGGCAGAAAGAAAAGGAGAGAAAGGAGAAGGGAGCTCATCTCTCCTTCTGCTTATTCAAAGATGCTATTTTTACAGGATATCTTTGTGCGATTTTTACTTTAGGATATTGTGGTTCAATTAAGAGAGACTGCAGATAGTGTGCACCCTTCCCTCCGCCCCTCGTCCACACACCGTGATCTCATAAGGCTCCAGCTGGGTTTTGGGTACCGTTGACACGGGCGTGGGCTCCCCCATCCCCGCCCCCAACTTCTGTCTAGTCTAGCCCTTTATTTCAGAGGACTTGCCAAGGGAGTGGAGGGTGAGGATAAGAACTGGAGGAGACCTCTCTGGGCGCATACATGTCCAACCCAGGGTGGATGTATGGAGTTGTAGAGAATGAAATAAAAAAATGTCTCTATCTCTGCTGTGACCCCCCATCCCAGCCCAGCCGCCCCCAAAGCCAGAAAGAAGAAAGAGCAGCCAGTTCCTACCAGCAAACCCGGAGGCGGGGACGCTAAGCAATGCGGCACTCCCCAGCATCCATCAGCACTGGCTTCCGCGGAGGTGGTGGTGGTGGCGGGGGTGATGCCAGCATCAACTCCTCTCAGAGGGATGGAGCAAGCAGAGAAAGAGCCCGTGGCGGCGACCCAGCTGAGGATTCGCCAGGAAGCAGCCTGGACCACCTCATCCAAGGACAGCTGACTACCTCTATCAGCAGGAAGGGTGGGGACCGGCTGAGCTACCACCACTTCTTTCCCAGGTCCTCATCCGGCCCATCCATTATCGCCTTCGGGAGAGGAAGGAGGAAGAGGACCGCAACGCCGGGACGAGGCAGGCCACAAGGGCTGAGGCCGCCTTTACCTTTGTGCGCCCAAGCAGTGGTACGCCGCGGCCAGCACCAGCTGTCCCCCGTGCGCTCAGAGCCGCTGGGTCCCGCGCGTCCCTGGGGCTGCTGCTGCCACTCCTGTGCTGCTGCTGCTAAAAGAGGACTCGGCTCAGCCCAACTCCTGATTATCCCAGCACAGGGCTCAGGCGACGTAAGCGCTCACGCACGCACTCTGCTCCTCTCCCTGCCTCGGAGGGGTAGGACCGCAATTTGGGAGGCGTTCAAATATCTATCCCGATTCTCGAGTTTAGCTTGCCTCAGGTCCCCAGATCCCAGCCCGGGCGAGCTTCAACTGACCAGGAGGGACAGCTACTACCTCACAGCCTCCCCACACCCCTCGCCCACCCTTTGTGTGCTTGACTCTTGAGTACTGGTAGAGTAGCCCTTGTTCTTGATCAGTAATTGAGGTTGACAAATCTTTTTCTGGTTCCTGTGGGGAGTGATTTTTGACGCAGAAGGAGTACAGAAACATTTTGTAATTTCTGCGTTAGTGGTACACAGAGCTATTTAATTTTAAGGACGACCACAGAGGTTTCAACACAATACTGGTGTTTACTCCCCTGAGGAAACTTGCAGGGATTAGTTTGGGGCTGTAAATGCTCCCTACTAAATTTCTGTTGAAGGGAATGAAAATGACCTGGCAAGATCAACAATACCCACAAGAATAAGACAATTGTCAAAGGACGTGTTGCGAGTGGAGGGAAGGCACTTGACTCCTAATAAATTTTATTTTCAGTTACTTTTAGAGACAGGCTTTTTCGCTTGTGATGTATGTTTATACTGGAATTACCATAAATAAAGAGAGCCCTTGAGCTTATGGTGTCCGGAGACGTATTTTAAAAAGGAAGAAGAAATGTTTTCAATTTTCAAAGCGCCATGTGTGTTACTCAAACTGTTAAGAAAGGGTCCTGAGTTCAAAAACCCCGATGCAGCAACTCTTTACTGCACTCCAGTTTGGGGCAATGTTATAAAGTCTGCGAAAGGAAGTGGTCTGGAAGCTAGTGCAATTTAGAACTGATAGACTCGCAAATTATACAACATTATTTTTGTTTTCTTGAGCATGGTATTGATAAAACAAAAGGAGTGTGGTATGACACGTTATACCATTTGTTAACTAAATTTTGGTGAAATAACTTAGGGACCAGAAAAAAAATGGAATAAATCATATACACATAGTTATTGAATTGTATTTTAAATGCAAGAGATGAGAAATTAGTCATATAAATAGTTATGTGTATGTTTATGCATGTACCTGGTGTGTGAGTCTGTGATATATATTTTACATGTACACTGTACATCCCTTGGAATCCATGGGAAACTGATTCTCACACCCTGGAGATAACAAACTCTGCAGAGGCTTACATGTATAGAATGCTACTGTATTTGTATATATTCTGCACACATCTTCAATGTACTTTAAATCATCTCTTTATTACATAAGATAATGAACAAAATCCAAATGCTGTTTAAATAGTCGCTGTGTTGTATTCTTTAGAAAATAATGATGAAAACGACTGCCTATATATGGTTAGTAGAGGAAACTTTTGCAAGTATTTTAAGGTACAGAAACCACAGATATGACTATTTTAATGTGTCTATGTGAATTTGCTTTAGATTATATCTAAAAGGTGGAAGAAATTACTGCGTCAGCAGCTTACAAACAGGCTTGAGCTATCACCAGTTACAACTCTGTTTTACAAAAAAAGGATACTGTCTGTTTTGCAGACTAACTTTCCCAAGATGTTTATATAGCAGTCACCTTGGAGGGGCCTTGAAAGATGGAGACAATAGTACCTCCATTTGCAATAAAGATAAGTCTATATATAGCTATGGGACTATAATGTCTCTGCACTGAGCAAAAGGCAACCAGTTTCTGTAAATACTCTGAATTTAGAGAACACTGCCCCAAAAGTGCCTCCTGGATGTACAAATATCACCTGAGTCCTTTTTCTTAACTCTGTAGAAATGAAGCTCAGGACCCAATGCCTGGCATGGGGGTGCTCATACAGAGTGCTGGGTTAGTAACCCAGGAATATTCATCATATCTGCTACCAGTATCCTTGAAACTATAGACAGTTCACTTGTTACCTTAAAGAATTATAACATGGATTTCTTGGTGAATTTTAGAAGCTGCCTAATATCATTCCCTACAATAGAACTATTTGACTAAATTAAATAGATAAATTACAGATAGATAGGTGATAGATAGATAGATAGATAGATAGATAGATAGATAGATAGACAGACAGACAGACAGAAATAAATTCTAATGCTAGTGTTGCTACTTGGAGTGCTGGTGTTGGAACCAAAACCTTTGAGCATGCTAACAAGCACTCTACCTACCACTGAGACATATCTCAAGACCCTTGTCATGGTATTTTTATTATTTAAAAAAATTTAAGTTTAAATGTGTTTTGATCATTTTCTTTTCCCTCTCAAGTCTTTCCAGATCCTTTTCACCACTCCCCCAGCATCTAACTTTAAGTTTCTTCTGAGAAACAAAAACCCAATACAAGAACAAAATTCCCCAAAACCATGTCCAAAAAAAAAATCAAAACAAAACAAATCAAAAGCACCAAATTGTAACCAAATAGAACAAAAAAAAATATGGAGTCCATTACATGCTGGTCAACTACTCGTGAGCATAAAGCCTGTCCTGGAGTGGTTTATCTACCCAGTGTCACTGTATGGAGAAAAATGATTTTCCCTCTCCCAGTAGGTATAAATGACAGTTCATTTGTTGACCTTTACCCTTTACTCTAGGTTTTTATTCATCCATTCTTGTGTTTTTAAATTAAAAAAATTAAATACACTAAGATGAAACAAAAATGATCATATAAATGTTGGAGAAGACAATCCACAGAAGGAAAAGAGCTAAAGAGAAGGCACAAGAATCAGAGACACACTTGTTCCCAAATTGGGGAATCCGTAACACACTACACTGGGAATAATAATAGATATTCAGAGGACCTGGTGCAGACCCACACTTGCCTTGTGCATGCAGTAATGGGGCCTTGCTGTCAGTTTGTGGAGAGAAACTCATATTGTCTTGGCAATAGCTGGGTTGTTTGGGATTTTCCATGGGACCTCTTCAGTCCACAACTTCATTAGATGTAATTCTCTCCCTGTCCATCCATACTTAACTATCATTCTACTTCACTTGTTTAGTCATATCTGTCTGTTCCCTCTAGTCCCTGACTCTGTATCTCTGGTTCAATTTATAGCTAGCTTATCACGAACTTCCCAGTTAATATCCACACATCTTTCTGACTTAGTCTGTGTTACCTCACTCAGCATGATTTTGTCAGTTCCATTCATTTGCCTGAAAATTTCATGATGTCACTGTTTTTTTAGTGACTGAGTAATAGTGCAATGTGTAAATTCTTTATCCTTTGTTCTATTGAGGAACATCTAGGTTTTGTTTTTGATTTTTGACTATTATGAATAGATCAGCAGTGAATATAGTTGAGTTGGTGCCTCTCTGGTAGAATGAAGCTTCCTTTGGGTAAGTGCCTAAAAATGGGATCACTGGATCTGGAGGTAGATCAATTCCCATCTCCTAAGGAATCACCACACTGATTTCCATAGAGCCTGTATGAGTTTATACTCCCACCAGCAATGGATGAGTGTTCCTCTTACTCCACATCCTCCCCAGTATGAGCTGTCACTTGTCTAACAGATCTTAGCCATTCTGACAGGTATGAGATGAAATCTCAAAGCAGCCTTGATTTGCATAGCCCACTCTTTGTCTTCACTCTTCTTTCTCTGATGGTGTTTTATTGACTATCAGAATGGTAGATGCTGTGGAATAATCCTCTTGTACACTATAAAGATTTGTCACTCAAATTGGTTTAATAAAGTGCTGATTGGCCAGTAGCCAGGCAGAAAATATATGTGGGGTGATCAAACTAAAGATTATGGGAAGGAGAAGGGAATGAGTCGGGAGTCTCCAGTCAGGTAAAGAGGGTGCAGGAGATGAACATGCCATGCTAATAAAGGTACCAAGACATGGCTAAACGTAGATTAGATTTATGGGTTAATTTAACTGTAATAGTCAGCTAATAACAAACCTGAGCTATTGTCTGAACATTTGCTATTAATATAAGCCTCAGTGTGTTTATTCGGGAACAGGCAGTCAGGATGAAAAATGACCATTTACAAGTAGACCTTAAGGTAGCTTCAACTTCCCCTTATTAAGGACTTTTTAGGTCCTCTGAAGAGGTTTCTACTGTTGTTTCATGTTTCTCCAATACACCTATAAGGTTTATCCTTCCTTTAACATGTAATATCCCAGTCCACTTGGTAATAAGTGTAGTGAATGACATGAGGAAGGCAACAAATGATTTTTTTGCTAGAATATTCAATTGATTCTGCACCATGTATAGATATCATGTATTGAGAAGACTACCTTCCCCTGCCCTGTGGGAGAGATATGACAACCATTTTCACCAAATAGCTGTTCATGTATACCTAGATTTTAATTTAATATAAAATTTAACCCTACAGCCTTTTATATACTCAAAATTCCTCGATGTTTCTCATAGTTGGGTCCCAGCAGTAATACCGATAAACACCTGGGAACTTGATCAAAATGTAAATTCCAATGCAAAAAAAAAAATCCAAAATCTTATCTACTGATTGGGAAATTCTTATAAGACATACGAACTTACAAAGTTTGGGGACCAGTGCTTTTAATTATTTTGAAATTAATGCTCATATTTATCTATCTCATACTTATCAGTGTTTCTTCCCAAATCGCTGAGTTTCAGTACAGAATTTATTTTGTTTTACTTTTTATCTGAAGAACACATTTTAACACATTCTTCAGTATAGATCCGAGGGTCATAAATTACTTGCCTGTGTACCCAAATCATCTCATTTGCATTCACTTTCAGACAGTATTGTGATAACTGTTGGGTTCTAGATTGATGACAATTTTCTTTAAATGCTTTTAGTACTTTTTTCATTTTTTCCTGGGATTCACTTTTATATCTGTTGCAAACTCGCAACATTTTCACTATTCTTTTAAAAGTAATCAAGGTATTGCTCTAATTGACTCTATTTTGTCTAGTTA